ACATGCCTGTCTTGTGAGGTTTTTGAACTTCAAGTCACATGCCTGGGATAATGTCTCGAGAAACAACAGTATCTGTGTTAAGAACATGCTCAGCCAGAAAACAGAGACAGCAGTGAGTACTGGGGTAGGATGTTGTAATCCAGCGGTCACAGTAGATTTTATTCCGAGTCAGAGCTCACACAGACATACTAAGTGTGGAATTTAACTCCTTAATATCCAGTTTCCTTCTTTTTCCACCCTCAGTTAAAAAACTTTTATTTGACACTATCTGACTATCATACATTTTTTATACATTCTGAAATAATCAAACCTACGACTTAATTTTTTTAATTTGGTATCTTTGGAAACTTGAGAATTTCCACTCAAATTTAAAGTAACAAAAGTTCTGAACATTTCAACAAAGTTTGGCTGCACAGCATGAGTTTGTGTTGACTGGCCCACTGGTGGGAGTTCTAATATGACAAGCCTGAGTTGTATTTGAAGATAAAGCAACATCAGACCCAATTTCTTAGCACTTATTTCCATGTGACATGTCTGAACAGCTTCATTCCTTCATTTTTTATGGTTATATAATTGTTATGTGTTCAGCAGACTGGGCAATGTGTGGTTATAAGGTACTTTATCATTACATAATTGAATTGTTCTGGTGGAAATCTTGGTGTCTGTACTCTGCAGTGTTTGTGTCTGAAATGAAAGTGTCCCCCAACCGACTCAGATAACTGTGAGTAATGGGCTTATGCAACATGAAATGAAGTGACCTGATTCAGTCCCCGAGGAACTCCACTAATGAATCTGCTATTCACAGATAAATTGTTCTTTTCAATGCACACCAGCTGCTGTCCACATTCTCCCCTGAAACACCCAGCAGCAATGACCGGTGCATAACACAGCATGTATGCTCTCATTCACTGTTTGTTTTGTTGCTCTAAATAAGGACCTTGTGATGAAGTAAAGCTTATGCTAGGAAGAGGAGTAGAAATAGACATCAATGTAAAAAGGAAGCTGTAAACAGGAAGCTGGTGGATATTTTTACTTACCCTGGGGTTGCCAGTCTTCTTGAATTTCTGTGCAATGGCTTTGTAAGAGAACATGACAACAAACACCTGGATGGCCATGTTGAAGATGGCCAGAGGGATCAAGTAGGACACATAGTTTCTGTGGAGGCAGAAATGCACAAAAAGCCAAAAAACCATAAACCTATTCTAGTGAGGGAGAGAGAATGCAAACACACCTATATTTACCTTGATAGCACTATGAAGAGTGTATGTGTGTATACATTACCTGTCTCCCTTGCTGTAGTCCAGAGTGCAGCAGGTCCTGAGGGGCTCATAGTCATACTCTCCCCAGCCAATGAGCGGCATGATGGCCCAGAAAGCAGTAAACAGCCAGATAAATACAGTCAAAGTGATGGTGCTGCTCCACTGCAGCTTTGTTCCTGACAAGAACAGGGTCAAAACGTTCATTCATCAACTTCATTAATATGATTTTAAAGACCTCTAACACTGTGAATGCACTAGCCTTAATAGTTAAGCATGGCCAGGAGGCCAGGCTAGGACAGACCACACTTGATGGTCCTTGATGCACGCCTGGTTAAAGTGAAAAGTCTGCAATATGAGGATGTTTTTCTCAGTCTGTTAAAAGTCACAGTGCTGCTGAAGCACAGCTTTATAATGATAAAACTAATCATCTTATTAGAGCAGTTTGATTTAACACTTTTATTCCTGAATGATCTCTCAGTGCTGAAAATGGTTGTCACAATTCTTAACATCGACTAGAGACAGAGAACAAAAACCTGCTCAGTGTATGCATGTGCATGTGTGCATGCACTGGGGGTGGGTGCACAGAGGCAGGTGTGACCTTACTAGTGCAGTACTGGTGGTATCTGTCCCAGGAAATGGCAGCTATGAAGTGGATGCTGGCGAGAGCTGACAAGAAGCCATGGAACCCATGAGTTTGGCACCCTTCAGAACCATAAGGCCAGTACCTGAAGACAGAGGGTGCCTAATAAATGAGGATAGCAGGAAACAGGTTCTTGACCATACATATTAAAACTGGTTTTAAAAAGCTTCAAGCAACAGTCAGTTAACATATTTCATACTATATACTGTATGTGAAGCTCTGTCTGGGTGACTGTGGGATTCTCGGTCACCTTCCTGTACCAAGGCTTTTCTTGTCCATGCTCATTTGACTGGATGACCAACTATAGGAAGAGTCTTGGCAGTCCCAAACGTCTTCCATTTTAAAATGACTGAGGCCACTGAATTCCTGGGAGCACTCAAAGTTTTGGGAACAATTTTAAACTCTTTTCATGATCTATGCCTTGCTGGGGGTCTTCAGAAAGTTCCTTGAACTTCATGGCTTAGTTTATGTTCTTACAATGCAGTGAGTTCTGGGACCTTATATCAATAGATGTGTACCTTTGTAACAGTTTTTATTGATTTTTAATAGGTTAGCAAATAAAAAATATTTGATTGAATCCCTGGACTTGTGAACACTGAAAGCAGCATCTCTGATTTTCTGATACAACTTAAAAATCCGCTGCTCCTGCCCATCAATGATCTCTCCACCCGCTTCTAACACCTACAGTATATATTATTCCTCCCTCCATCGATTATAGAGGTCCTTATACATAATTAATCTCGAGAACAGGTAGCCAGTACTGTCATAACAGAGCTTGGTGTTCATTACATCACTCACCTCAAAAAGCTGGAGAAAGCGGCGACGGTGGCGTTCATGGAAATGCCCATATCAGCCATCGCTAAACTGAACACAAGGAAATTACTCGGGGATCTCAGCTCTCTGACTTTGAGGAAAGCAACGACTGTCACGCCATTTAGAAAGAAGCCCAGGAGACCTTTGGCGAAACAAAAATAAACAATTAAAACCACGAACGAAGGCAGCACACAGCGAAAATCGCAAATCAATGCGCACAGCGATGCTGTTGCTATTTTTTTATATCACAGTCTGTGCGAGTTTAAAGCTCCTACGTCACCCCACAACATGTTACTGTCAGTGACGGGGTGACATAAGGTCCAGGTATTTTGATACACTCAGCAGGTGTAAACCTCCTGGTTGCATTTGGCTGCATTCCAGCACAAAACACTCACCCTCCACCAGAAGACAACACCCTAAGGAGAACACATCAAATTCAGAGAATCCCTCCGGTAAAGGGTTCGATGACACCATCCTGTAGCCGACTTGACCAACCGACTTCCCCTCTCTTCTCTATTCGCTTGTTTACGATGCGCCTCAATGTGACCGAATCTGCTTTTAAAGGAGTATTTCACGTGAAAGGCATGACCTTTAATTATGCAAAGCCCCCTCGCTCTGTCGCCACAATCCGTGCAGGAATGTCTTATCACAGGCTAACCACACAAACTGCAAATCGTAATGCGTATTTGTCCAACAGTAAAACCCTCAATTAGTTACACAACAGCCCATTGTGTCACTGTGTTACGGTGAGTTTGCAGCCGTTGCTGATGTGAAACTACGAGATGATGCGTTTGATGCAGCCCACACCTCTGCATCGCTTTACACAACAGGTGTCTGCAGAGCTTCAGTCTCCTGCCAACCAGATCTGCTCACATTTACTAAGAAAACTAAACCCTAAAACCACAAGATTTCTCTCATCAACAACAATAATGATTCCACTATTTTTATCCATCCACCCATTATATCTGTATGTCTGTATGCATGCCAAAGGATATGCATGACTGTTTGTTTCGTGGTTGCGTTCACAGGCTGCTTGACATGTGGTTTACACTTTTACCTACAAACAAAAGATAAGGGAATAGTTATTTCATGTCTTATTGATGCATTTCAGTTTGTCTTTAAATAAAATGTAGGTGATGAATATTTCAGTTCTGACACAAAGTGATTACAGGATTCATGTGAGTGTCCCTGTATCTTCAGCAATCCTTTAATAGGATATGAATTTTATTTTATGTACAGTAACTCCATTCATTTGTTATTACTAGAGGATTTTATCATTTCTTTTATAGTTAAACTTTGTGTTGTGTACTTAGCCCTCTGTCCAGACTCTCTTGTGGTTAAATGTCAATCAGATGTAACGTGGGCTCCCAGTTAGCCTGTGTTTCTGGATCTTCCAGAATCAGCACACTTTCAGGAATGTTTTGTACTACGTTTAGTTTGATGAAATGCAAGGAGTATCATGTAGTATTTACCTACATTGCAAAATAAAAGATTCCCAAACTGAAGCATTAGAAGTGTGGAATTCTGTCCAAATGCGTTACTAACGGAGTGAGTATCTTTCATTCAAAGGGAATAAAAATAGCCTTTAGTCTTTTTCTTTTCTTCTGACAAATTGAGTTGGTTTAGAAAATAAATCTTAGTGTCTTGTTGATGAATAGTGTACATGTGTAATTATTGTGCAGGTAGAGGCGCTACCTTTTGGTAAAACAGTGACGTACTTACAGATTAACATTCACGGCGGGGCTCAAATGAGCAAGACACGTTTGAGGGAAATAAAAACATCCAAACATCACAGTGGATTATGACCATTTCAGAATTTTTTTTACGATAATAAACAGGGACCTCTCAGCACAGCCAATCGGATTTCGGGATGCAATACGCATTCAAATAAAAGGAACGCTAGTTCTTTCGCTAATCCTTATCTATCCTTTATATCTCGGGACTCATAGCAGTCTGATCACTATGGAACAGCGAAGCGGTGGGACATGCGGATGATGCCCCCATAAATGAGAGAAAAAGCAAGTGTGTTTGACTTTAGTGGACGCAAACTGGGTGCATGTAGGCAAGCTTCGTATGCGTAAAAGTGGGCCAAAATGTTCCTCGTCCTGCTCCTGGGGCTCTACGTGGCTACAGGTAAACTTGTCTCCCCAGTGAGCTCCTGCCCGTCTCAGTGCAGCTGTTTTTACCACAACCTGAGTGATGGATCAAAGGCCAGGTAAGGAGGATGTCCAAATGGAAATGATGTAAAAATCAAACAGCACACTGTAATGTGGTCTGGTTTGTGCGCACAGAGGCATCTTTTTAAACAGAAAGCTCTTGTCCACCTATGAGGACAGATGTTTGCATAGAGGTGAACACGTGTAAGATAATTCAGGGAATGCATGTCGGTCCAATTTTATTTAATGCAGGATTATCCCTCAAAGGCACTTTGAAGCCCCCATCTATGCGTTTTATGTGTTTTGATGGATTAGGGACCGAGCTGTTTTTTCCCGAATTATTAACCACAGGATTTTTGCTGCTTGTGAACTTTCCACATCTTTTGGTATAATTAAAATTTCAAAATAGGGTTTAAGATTTCAATAACAATTTTTATTAACTTTTGTATTTTTTATTTTACTTCCCTGATTTACACAAAACATGTTTAAATGATGTGCAGGTGAACACGAATCCATTAATGTGTCTCCCCTTGTAAGGAGCGTGATTTGCAACGATCCCGAGATATCTCTTGTGCCTGTCGGGTTCCCTGTTGACACGTCCAAGCTGCGGATTGAGAAGACGGCCATCCAGCGGATACCGAGCGAAGCCTTGAAATACCTCTCCAGTCTGGAATTCCTGTGGATGTCTTTTAACACACTGTCCTCCATTAACTCAGACGGTTTTCGGGGACTGTTCAACTTGGAAGAACTTCGTCTAGACGGGAATGCCCTCACCAGCTTTCCTTGGGAATCTCTCATGGATATGCCCAGTCTCAGACTTCTCGATTTGCACAACAACCAGCTCACCTCGCTGCCTGCTGAGGCCACCACTTACATTAAGAATCTCACATACCTGGATCTGTCCAGCAACAGCCTGCTGACCCTACCGGCAGAGGTACTGTCCACCTGGCTGGCGGCAAAACCTGCGCAAGGACCAGAGAGTTCTAAAATGATACTTGGTAAGGAACATTCTGATACCTACCCTTCATTCAACCCAACCCTTATAGGATTAAGATCCTTACATCCATACCACCCATCTGCAGGCTGATCTGTCACTTGGTACACGTCTTCCTCCTGTAGCCTCACTTTTACCCTCACCTTCAGGTCTCCATGACAACCCCTGGGTGTGCGATTGTCGGCTCTATGACCTGGTCCAGTTCCAGAAGTCTCCAACTTTTTCGGTGGCGTTCATTGACACAAGACTCCGGTGTTCAGCCCCAGAGAGTGTATCAGGAGTCTTGTTCAGTAATGCAGAGCTGAGACGCTGCCAGCTACCACGTATTCACACAGCTGTGGCTCGAGTTCGGAGCTCTGTTGGAAACAATGTGTTGCTCCGATGTGGGACCATTGGAGTCCCTATCCCAGACCTGAAATGGCAGAGGGCAGATGGACGAGCCCTCAATGGAACAGGTGAGTCAGCAGCTCTCCAGCTGTCAGGGCCTTAAAATGCTTTTGCCTACCCTGTAGTGCTTCTGTTAATTAAACAGTAAACTGTACAAGGGGATATTTCTCAGATGCCACATCATATTTGAATTCTCCTTTTAATAATTTGTCCTTTTGTAATCATTGTGTAACAACTATATTCTCTCCACTTTGTCACCACAGTCCAGCAGGAAACAGCAAAGGATGGAATCACCTGGTCTATCCTCAGTGTCCCAGCTGTGTCCTATCATGATTCAGGGAAGTACATATGCAAGGCCACAAACTATGCCGGGAAGGCTGAGGCTGTCATTTCTCTCATTGTCTCTAACTCACTCAAACCAGATAGGAACCAAACTAGCAGTGACAAGAAAGTCAAAGTCAAGAAGTCCAATCAGATGGGCAAAGCTGCCTACCAGGAAAAACTAGTGGTCAGACATGCAGTTCCAACGTCCACCCTATCATCCCTGTCTGCCTTGGAACCTGGTCTTGATCCTGATCCTGGACTAGGCAGTTACAGCCTGGCTGACAGAGCCACCCCAGGTCCAGCCATCTCCTCCAACCCCGATGTGCTGCTAGATTTGGAGAAGACAAATCTAATCAACTTGGCAGCCAACACCTCGTCGCTGCAGCAGGACCCAGACAGGGTGGTCCGCTCAGTGAAAGTGGTGGGGGACACAGACAATACGATCTCTCTCAACTGGAGAGCCCCTAAAGCCAAGAACACAACAGCATTTAGTGTCCTGTATGCTGTGTTTGGAGAGAGGGACATGAGGAAGATCAATGTTGGAGCAGGGCAGACCCGTGTAACCATCGAAGGGCTGGTTCCCAGGACTAAGTACATCGCCTGTGTGTGTGTGAAGGGGCTAATCCCCAAGAAGGAGCAGTGTGTCATTTTTTCCACTGATGAAGCAGCCAGTGCCACCGGAACCCAAAAGCTGATTAATGTGATTGTGATCACAGTGGCCTGTATCATTGCAGTTCCACTCACTGTCATTGTGTGCTGTGGGGCGCTGAAGAGACGCATTAAGAAATACTGCGGAAAGAAATCCAAGGACATCCAAGATTCATACGTGACCTTTGAAACACTGTCACCTGGAACAAAAGCCAAAGGGCTTGAGGGGGAGTATTTGAACAGATTAAACCCGGAGGAGTCCAACAGGCTGCTGTCAGCTCGCTCCAGCCTGGACTCTGAGGCCACAGCTAAGATAGAGGGACAGCCTAATGAATACTTCTGCTGACATCATGCTCCAGCTCTGGCTCCTGCTCCACATTGTCATCCACATGCTCATCCAAACCCCAATACTCCTTCACATCCCCACCACCACCCCCAGCCCCATCTCCATTCACATCCTTATCCCCATCACTATGCATATTCTCACCGTCAGCAACATCCCAGTGTTAGTCCTCCTCCTAGCCACTCCCATATGCCCACACCCTGGGATTCCTCCCCACCTGTTCCTCCTCGATGGATCTCGCCACCTACTCCGCCACCACAGAAAGCCACCTTCTATCAAAGGACTTTTGCACGCTGCACTATAATGGAAATATCAGTTTAGAGAATATGTGACAAATAATACTGACTTGTTTTTCCAGACATTTAAAGAATATATTTCTGGACTGTCATACTGTACTTATAACTATACATTAATAGTAAAACAATATTTAAACTCACTCATGCTTTTACAGGATGTCTAAAAGAATGTTTTTATCACTAAGCCTGCAAGTGAAAACATGTCAAAACATTAAAAAGCAGCAGTCATTGTAATTTCCAGTTCATCTCACTTGCATGGCCCAGCGGAAAAACGCTCTGCAGTCTGAGCTGATTTAAAGGGAACTCTGTACTTTATTGTTTATATTATGGGTATGATTTGTAAATGCTTTGGTGGATGATGCACACTTATATATACAGTAAAGTCTGTGCCTCTGTATATATCTGCCACATGTTCTCAGAGAAGATGTACACAAAGGTATGGTTCATCACTGGTGAACGGAGAAAAAGCTGGAGCTGGAGGAAGCTACAGAAACTATGACACAATGTAAGTAGGGTAGAAATGATGCAAAAATATAGTACAATATTAAACCATTTCTATTCCCAGCGATAAAACACACACTTAACTATCTCTATGTACCTTCTGTTTGCCACCTAGAGGCATCATTACCCCATTTAAATGTAGATCCATTAATTCCAATAATATTATTTCAATAGAGTTAAATAAACGTTTATATACACATATCCAGTAAGTGATACTGTGTGTTCTTACAGTAGTAAATAGTAGGGACTTAAAAATATACTGGTTCCGGCCTACTGTGAAGTGTTAGTCATGTGTCTTTCCCAAGAATTAGATGCCACATGTTCACTACGCGTTACGTCAAGGATTAGGTTTAATAGGCTTCTCTTGTCTGGCGCACTCGAAATGTCTTGAGCTCCAATGTAAGCCTCTACTTTGAATTTTCGCGGACTATGGACATAATTTGTTACATGCTGCTTATAGTCTTGTTAAACATTCAGGTATATGAAGCTTATTCTCACTGTTTACGCGGGTGCAGCTGTGTAGAAGACCGCCACGGAAGGTAAGACCTGACTTCATGTAGTCTAATCCTCACCAAGGCAGAGCTATCTGTAACCTATTTACTGTAACTGTGCCCCTGGGTGACGGTGGATAAATCAGTAAATTGCAGAACTTATTTTTCGCAGTAAAGTCGAAAAGTTTACCTTTGACGTGTAACGCTCTAATCTGTGGTCCATTATAACTGGACTAAACAGTAAGCACATGCTTATTTATATTCCCTTTAATTATAGGTCGCTAGTATGTATGGAGGAGAGTGCGTTTGGGGCCATACCAGAGAATCTTCCAGATGATATGACCAAAATACGAATAGAAAAATCTCACTTTACTGAAATACCCAGAGGGGCATTCTCCAAAACGCCTGGCTTGGAGAACCTGTGGTTGAACTTCAACGATATCAGAGTGATACATTCAAAGGGTCTGGAGGGTTTGGGAAACTTGACCGAGCTCCGTCTACTAGGGAACAAGCTGCGTTCAGTACCATGGACAGCGTTCGAGGACACGCCGACTCTCAAGATCCTGGACCTGAAGCACAACCAGCTCGACGTCCTGCCGGAGCATGCGTTGAAGTTTTTGCCAGGTCTGACTTACCTGGATTTATCTTTCAATCGGCTTACGGTCATATCGAAGGAGGTCTTCCAGAACTGGCCCCTCTATCAAAAACTACAGCGAATGGAGGAGCGGGTGACGACCGCTTTAGAGCCGAACGTCGTCCTGGCGCTGCACGACAACGCATGGCTCTGCGACTGCCGCCTGAAGGGCTTCGTGGAGTTCATCAAGTCCCTAAGCCCCCCAATTATACTGATGAACTCCTACTTGACCTGTTCAGGGCCAGTCTTTAGAGAGGGCAAGTTCTTCCATGAGCTAGAGCTGCAGGCCTGCATGAAGCCTGCGGTCAGCACCCCTTTCTCAAACATCAGCCTGACTCAGGGCACGAACCTCACACTGCGCTGCCTCGCTAAGGCCAGGCCAGAACCCGGGGTGTGGTGGACATATGGCCTGAAGTTAATCAAAGGATTTCATGGTAAGAGTGTGATACCCACTGCATGTCATCCACACACCGAGCTCGAGTGATATGAGCACACATTTTAATCTTTAAGACGAGGGCTAAATCTGGATATTGGCCCACATGGGATATAATCACCACTGATTCTCTCAAGCTGCATAACACCATCAGGGTTGATCAAGACCGTTGGAGATTACAGTGGACTTCTAGTCTACCTAATGTCAGTTGTGTTGGGAGGGTGTGTTAAGTAAACCGAAGTGTCATTAGAATTAACGTCTAGCTCATGGCTGCACGTAACAAGTCCATCATAAAAAAGCAGCACCCAGGCTGCTGCTCAGTGCAGCCTTTTCCTTTATTGGGGACAAGTGGCTTAATTCATTGATTTGTTTTTCTGCCTCAGATAAAATTTGTACTCAACTGTGTATTTTGTGAAACAAGCAAACAGACAAAAGACAAAACGGTTTTTCATTGCCGGGTCATGTTGTCTGTGCTTCATGTCTGATCCTTTGTTGTCCTCCTAGAGTCTCAGGAAAGAGGGGATGAAGACACCATTAGATCCATCCTGGCAATCCCCTCCCTCTATGTGGCTGACCGCGGTGTTTACACCTGCACTGCTGTCAACTTTATTGGAAACTCCTCTGTTAGCGTCTTCCTTGATGTTCACTCTCCTGGCGCCTCCCAGTCGTCACTCCTTCCTGGCTTCCCGGCTGCACCTGTTGCTGGTAATGAAAATGTCTATATTGACATCCGCATCACTAAACAGACAATACGTGGTATTTCCATTGAGTGGCATGCCGTTTTGGATCACCCCTCTGAAGCCTGGTTCGCCATCCACTTTGGCCGTGCAGACGCCGATAGAAAAGAAATTATTTACATTGGTCCAGGGATTCACTCGTACTCTGTCTCAGATTTGATGCCTGCTACTAAATATGAAATCTGTGTAACCCTTAAGAACCAGACACCACATCCAGGCCAGTGCATTGTGTTTGTAACAGGAAGTGACATTACAGAGATGGAACAGAGGGAGAAACTGATTCATATCTTGGTGATAGTTTTAGCCATGGTGCTGGCAGTGCCTATTGGTATGTATGCCTGCACCACTGACACTAGGTTTGCTTGTTTGGAGGGTATCATGGAGTCCTGGAAGAACTGGCGGCAAGAAGGTAGGCTGTCAGGGATGGAGAGGCAAGGTACTTTCGACAGCCTGCAGGCGGCCAGTGATGAGGGCCTGGTTAATAAAGATTCTACTGAAAACAGGAAGGTGAGGAGGAGATCAGATGACAAACCGCATAAGGCCAAAACTGACCACAGCAGACTCACAGCTGAACTATATTAGACTACTATTTGTTAAATCAGCATGTGAAAGCATGAGACCAGTGTCTCCCACTGTATCAGTCCTTTTTGTAAAGTACAATAGGTGCTGACTTTGATACTGAGAACTACAATATGAATTATCATATCTGCCTTGGTTTTAATCTGATCTCTTCCTCTGTTCTACGCAGAAGAGTTTGTTGCAAAGATGTGAATGAGGACCATAATATCAAGAGTGTAAAACAAGGATTTGCACCAGTGTAGAGAATGTGCTGCAGTTTGTTTCTGTCTGAAATTTAATGTGTGTCTTGTTATCACAATACATTAAAATGAAATTATCAGATGTTTTAAGTAGCTGCTTTGAAATGGAAAAAAAAAGCTTAACATGACTCGATGAGGACATTTTAAATTCATTGGTATGTATATAGGATACCTTTATCTATTTCTGTGTTAATACTTTAATACTGTCTTATAAACTGTATGTATTCAATGATCTGATGGGTTCAATTTGGCTCGCCTTGTTTACATTGTCTGGAAAGTTAGCATATGTTTACTCTAAAACTGGATGTAAAACAGAAACATCTCTTAAAGCAGATCATTTTCTACAAATCTCACAGTTTGCACATATGGATATACATATGGATATGCTGAATGTGTGTCAGCAGTGTTGGGGAAGCTACTTTGTAAACTACCGATTACTTCACATGGGAAGAAGTTAAACTACAGCAAAGCTACTCTAGAAAGAAATCTAGTTTGGCTAACTAAATCTATCTAGAAAAAGTTCAAACTACTTTGTAAAAATGAAATAAAAGATCAAACTGACAAAGAACATGATACATTAGCATATGCCTAATCCTCTGTGTACGTCATAGTTCTTGTCTCTCACTTCTCCGAACACAACCAACAGCTGCCATACGTCACACAGGATGACCAGCCGAGACAGATGGCACATCAGACATGCGTCAGCCAGTGGCGTTGCTCATTTGACATAATACCCAAACACTGGCATCCTCCGCAGAAGCCCCTGGTGCTGTCACTTTATGATCAGAACACCCCCCCCCCATCTCCACATTTTGTTTCCTATGATGCAAAAACATCATTTAATTCTCCCGGGGCTCCTGTTCTCTTAAGTTGACGGCTTTAGCTGAGACTGGCAACTCTAATTTTCTGTAGCACAGGTACATCTGCGTGTTTTTGTTGGTGGGGATTGATGCTGCTTTTTACTGTAATCTTTAACCACCGTGTATGACACTACAATGAATTCTGTAAACTGTTTCAGCATAGAACACTTCTGTATTTGAGTTTATTTCATTTTTACCTTAAATATCTTAATGTTGCATCAAGATGTGTATTATTTAAACATGCTGCATATCAGCTGCTAATCTCATGGGCAACAGCATTTAAAGATCAAGAGCTAATCCTGTACTCATGATGTTTTCTTTCTTAGTTTTCCCATCCAGAAAAGAACCTCCTGCGCTTCAAACACAGCAGGGATTGTAAACCCTGCCTGTAGTTTTCTTTCATTCCAAAGCATAAATGCACTATGTAATCCTCTGTCAAATAGCCCAGTAATCCTGGCTGTCTCTTACATGGAATAATGTATGATCCTTTGTGCTGCTCCTCTTATTTCCACATTTCACTTCAGAGCATTAGCAGCTTGCAACATTTGAAAGTGTATGTGGGTGACAATTGTCTTCTAAAATTTGGGTTAGCTCCTCAAGAATCTTTGGGACAGTACTTACCTGAAAAAAAAAGCATTATATGTATTTGTGGCAAGAGCATGTATGTACTGTGTAATCAGACTCAGTTTACTTTGTCAAATAAACCCCAAAATCCCCATAGTCTGCTCTGCGTCATCACAGTGAAATGTGCCAGTGGAGGCTGCAGGATGTTCAGTCCAAACTAAATTAGGGCAAATGGAGTTCTGGTTTTTACCCAAAGATGCAATATTTTACAAAGATGAACAAGTTGCTCCTTGGATTAGAGTTAGTAATCTGCAAATGCCATGTTTTATGTAACTTTGAAATAGTTTTGCATGTTCGGCTGCTGTCAACACAAATACCCAGTGAGTGATTCTGTGTAACTTCATAATTGGTAGTGCTCACATTGAAACTGGAGCTAAGTACAGCAAAAGGGCTTGTAACAGGAACATATTACATATTTGCAGACCATCTGGTGGGGTTTTACTGAACACAACAGCAAAAGTGATATTACTGTGGAAGATCTTTTTTCATACATCTCATTCAGATTCCCATAATATGCATATTCTTGTTGTTATTCATGGGTATTATTTTGTTATTTTCCTCTACTTTTCCATAGAGAGAAACAAAACGATTCAGCAAGACTTTCCTTAAGGCCAGAGATTTACTACTGCATTAGACTTTTTTGAGGATTTGGGAACAATGATCTTAAATCTCTTACACAACTTTTTTTCTCCTGAGTCGTCTCTCTCCACAAGGGGGCTGTAGAGTGTATTTGTACATTCACTAAGAAGGTGCCTTCAAGGTTACAATATAATGAGCTGAGCATCCTGAACTCAGTGTTATACTATATGTTATATTCTTGGAGTGTTGTAGCAGGTTGTGACCAGATCAGCCACACGGCCACACTGGCAACTTGACAATCAATGGAGTGCATCATAAAAAGAAAACCCATCAATAATCCAACTACACATTCAAATAGTGCACTAAACTTAACACTGTTAAACTCTCCAACAGTATATAAGGCATTTAAATCTGCTTCACCTTGACCAACTATAGCATTTCAGTACTGCTTATATGAGAATGCTTCAGTAATTATATACTGCAACTGATAGTATGATAGCGTACACTGACAGGGGGTACTCTGCATACAGCTTTTGATGTATTAAGTACATTTTGACTCTTCTATGGGAGTATTTTCATAGTGTGGTCCTGCTACTTTCACCTGAGTAAAATAATCTAAAAACTTCTTTCACCACTGGTGAATTTACAAATGATGTTCTTTTAATGGTAGTAAAATTAGTACAAGTGTTTTGACAGAAAGGTTTTTGACCAAAGTGACACCAATTAAAACATATATACCACCACATATACAGTGATAAATGAAGTAAATGAAGCAAAGTCCCATAAATGATAAATAAACATGGTGACTGCTCAAAAACAGGGTCCTAACAAGTGTGTTACACCTGTGCCGTAGGATTAAATGTCTTCCTCACATGATCGCTTTGGTTCCCTTCCCTTGGGCTGATCTCTTTGGTCAGTTCAAGTATCATGAAACCTCTTGTGAGGAGTTTGACTGGCTCCCATATAAACAGTCTCACTTGAATGACTTCATTCCTGACAAGGGATTTGAGTTCAAGAACTTATTGGCATGGGTGTGTCAAAAATGGTTCCCAAGGTGAGTAAACAAAATGAGACAGAAACTTGCACCAGAAACAAGTGGTAAATGATTGTGAACTGAAAATGTGATTTGAATGAAGAAACACAACGGGATTTTTCTCTTCTCCATCCCACACACACACACACACACACACACACACACACACACACACACACACCGTTCACACAAAGCACTATTAATGACTGGGTTCTCTTGTCTTTGGAAACAGCTGAAAAAAGAAACCCACTCTCACCTTAAGGCCCATTTAATGGCTATCCTGGAGCTTTTGACTATATCACTTCTTTTTCATAATATTAAAATGAAGTCTGCCTTGTTATTTGATATGTGTTTGTTAAAATGTCCATTTGTCTGTCTACACAGATGAGAAGACTTAAGAGTCCTGCAAAAAATGAAAATGTGAAGAAATACATTTTTATGATAACTATACAGAATCAACCCACTGATTAACATCATGAAGGCTCCAGGAAGACTCATTTTAGGTGAAGTAGTTTTGTTACGCCCCTATTGATACTTAAGCATCCTTTTCTGCTCCAGTCTTATCTTCAGCTCTGACACCAGTGCTCTGTTTATAGTGTCTTGTCTGGTCATCACCGGCTTCTTTTTGGGTTTGGGTGCCACTGTTCCTGACATGGTGGGTATGGTCCATGGCCTCTCCCCTGGGATGTAAGGGGCTGGAGGAGGGGGCAGAGATGGAGCGCAGGGTGGTGGAGGTGGGGACCAGTGTCTCACAACATTGTTGACGTTGTTGTAGCTGATATTCTCCATGATGACCTCAGGTTCGCACTCTTCCTCTTCGATTTGGAATTTCTCCCCAGGGGTTTCTGATGTCTTGAAGGGATTTTTGAAGTTCCAGGTGCGCTGCTGCTGCGGCCTTCTCCGCACACGGCGGTTAGGCTTGATCCGGTTGCTCTTTTTGTTGCGCATGAATGTTGCAGTGGATATGATGACTGTGACTATGATTGTGAAGCTAATGACACCAGCAAGCATACTTAGGATTTGCAAGGGCTTGTTTCTACTCTGCATTAAAAATGATCCTACATGCCCCCCACTGAGTTGGCTCTGTAAAGGAGCACAGGGAGAATTTACATCCATGGGATTGAAGTAATTCTTCTTTACACACTGATTAAACTCTAAATATTGCCATGTATATGCAATGTAGTATTGCACATTTGATAAAAAAATATCATGCAAAGTGTAAAATTCAAAACTCCAGAAATGCATTATTGCAAATACCCAACCTGTGTGCATAAAGAAAATCTTGCCCATTTAGTGGAGCACGTTTTGCAAATTAAACATGATTAAAATAATGATCCTTTTATTTGCTTATATTTTGTCAAGACAAAATCAGAGAGGTTGACTTGGAAACCCATAAATGAGATTATTCAGCATCTAAGATTAAAAATATAAATGAATGTGAAAATACAAAATGTTTTGCTCCTTTTGGTCATGATGCCATAATCAAAGTATTAAATCAAAACATGGACAGACATAAGTATGGGAGCATGATTAGAGCGTAGTGTATTTTGTGCTCGTGTACTCTTTTACAGAAACAGCCTTCTTCTACTACAAAATCTTCTGAAAATTATTTGCTGCAAATTCTTGGTAGTACAGAGTGAAAACAACAGTACTGCTGTGCTGATGATCTCAAGGCAAGCTTGATTTATGGCACAGACCTCCTTATAATCTCTCTGATCTTGCCCTGAGATTGAACACGGGACTTTTTTACAGAGTTCCAGTATAAAAGCATTGAAATGATGATTGTCAGTGAAATGTTGAAGGTGATAACGGTCAAACAAATCCAAAACACAGCCCCTGGACGTTTTCGTAGGCCCAACAAATATGACAAAAATCTGGATTTGATCTGAAAATATGACAAATGCATTTGTGTAAGACTCAGATTTTTATGACTTTAGTAATTTAAGTAAATCGCTAGTGACCATACGAGCTATTCTTTAGAAAAACTGCCTGTCTGAATCCAAATTGGTCAGATGTTCCAACATCTATTATAGATGTAAACTAATGTAAACTCTTCATTTTCTTATATTTATATAAAGTTTCTATAATCGAATAACTTACAGCTTCAGTGATATCGATCTTGACGACTGCAGTGGTGCTGAAGGATGGCTGGCCTCGGTCTCGAGCTTGCACCACCAGTGACCAGGTGAAGTCCGTCTGCTCGGTGATGTTCTGTATAATGGCCAATGACTTGATGTAGGACTTGAGCACGATCTCCCCTGTTTCCGCGTTAATGTCGAAGATGCTGTTGTCTGGCTCAGCTTTCATGATAGTGTACTCGATGACATTGTTGGGTACCTCTGCATCATCATCCACAGCCTGCACACGTGTAAATGCATTTAGTTCAAAACATAATGGTATTGATTTATTATTATGTGACCTACTAAATCACAGGAGAGCACATACCTCTATTTTCACTGCTGTACCAATCACCATGGTCTTTTCAAGGAAGTTGTCAATGAAAGCAGGTGGGTGGTCGTTCAGATCCAGCACCGTCACAAAGACCTCAGCCAGGCTGTATTTCCCCTTGGCGTCCTCCGCCTTCACATAAAAGTTATACTTAGACCTAACCTCTGCATCCAGGCTTGCCCACGGCTGTGTGTAGATGAACCCCGATGCAGACTGGATCAGGAACCTGTAAATGGTGATGTGAATTTTTTTTATTTTCTTCTTAGGTTGACTTACTGTACTTAATGTATGGGGATGCTTATGTAGACAAGAGAGGGTCAAACCTCCTCACTTAAATCCAAAAATAAAGGTAACCTCTAGTCCTTTAAAATGTCACTTTTGTGTCCCATTCCAATTAATGTAATTCATGAAGGACTGAACTGTTAACATACAGAGTAAGGGTGGAATTGTTTCATGGATGGATTTGTTTAGTTACCCTACAGTGAATTTGTCATATTGCAAGGAGGTCAGTAGCAAATGCCAGTCTATTTTCTCTTCCAATCCCATTAGAGGATTAACAAAGACAGAGGGTGAGCAAAGATCAGGACTACATAGTCCTGTATTCTACAAGATACTAGTCAATTTAGCATAAAAGCTCTGCTGTCACATTTATACAAATGTGTTTTTGCTGTAGATGGTCTTCATATACAGTAGTACAGTGGTCTGCTGTTATAATGCCACAGTCAGCCTCAAATGAAATTTATTTGTCATTTAGCTGAACTATTTTCCTGATATAAGTGTGCCCTAAATGAAGAGTGTACTCTAGTTTTCTACTGCTGCCTATCAGCTGCTAAGCTGTATACGCCTTTGTGAGTTTTCTAGAACATCATCCGTTGATTTTCTTCAAGAACATGATTTTACTATGATATGAACTGTACAGACTAGTGAATAAACACATGGAAGGCAGTAAAAAAGTAAAGAGTAAAGAAATTTGAATCAATAGTGTATGTTTTTATTATTATTATTATTATTTTCTTGTCCAGGATTTAAAGCAAAACCTACCCATGGACAGTTTTAGCATTTTAAATGCTTTATTTTGACAGTAAGATTGTGCTATTCGAATATGTGTCTAGTTAGAAAATGCACATGATGATAATGTGAGGATGCTTAAGCTTCATTCCCCTACTCACAAGTCAGCCCCTGACCCATATAGAGAATATGTCACTTCACCCCAAGGTCCTGAGTCTGGATCTGTTGCCTGCAGACAAAACAGAAAAGCCAGATTATAGAGGAAAACAATGTTGTGAGTGTGGCTGTGGTATTTACACAACAACATAACTTTCACAACAGCCACCACTTCTCTTTAAAGGATTTAGTGCAATATGTGGCTCAGTGAGGCATATCCCACCATGTATAGGCATTAGATTGGATTCATGTCAGACCAGTGACCAATATTTTGTATCTTTATTTCTTTCCTTCCTTTCCAAACCTCAAAAGATTTTTGTATCTCTTTGCTCAAATGAGTGATGAGACAAAAAGAACAGTCAGTAAACCGAATGAATCTGTGCTCAACTGGAACATAATGTTACAGAGGTCAGCTATAAAAAGGTTTTTGATGTCATAGGAACATCAGCTAATCTGTCTGTCACTGCAGGGATGCCTGTTCACTGTTTCTGTGTCCAAGGTTGTTAGCTCTTCTTTTATCTGATTGAAACTGACTAAGATCAAGGTAACAGGCTTCAGCAGTGTTCACGCAAGGGGAGGATTTATTAGTTAGCTGTTGCTTTGAGCCTCTACGGGGCTGATATCAACTAAGAAGGATCACATCTATCATATTTTTCCATATATATTTGTGCTGCAGCTGCATGTTCCGGTAAGCATGGAGAAAAAAAATCTGGGAATTTGGTGTTACACAACAAAATGAAAGTGAGCTGGCAGCTTACCTTGTCTAGCTTTTATCTAGGTTTTCACATATTATCCCAACCCCCAGCATCCAAAGAGTCAACTATTAGCGAATTAATGACCCTCTTGAGCATTTAGTTCAAATCAGCATTCCTCTTTAGCTATGTGATGTACACTGGCGATAGCACGTATTTTTTAGATAGGATGAAGACTTGCTTACCGTGACTGCCACTACATTAGAGCCACCGGGTGAGTTTTCTGGAATTCTGGCAATGTAGTAATCTGAGCAGAATTTGGGAGCATTGTCATTGGTGTCCAAGAGATGAATGACAATGTCTGCTGTGGCGCTGAATCTCTCTGGAGTGTCAATCTCAACTGCAAGTAGCTAAAGTGGAAAAGGATTGTAATTAAGTAAACGAGAAAGAGCAATATGCAAGAGATGCAGGTGATAATATATCACTGCCATTTGTGTGCATTTGTGATTTTTTTATCTACTGTGCTACACATCGAGTGCAAGTGGTTTTACCTTGTATGTGAGAAAATGGTGTTTCTCAAAATCCATGGCAGCAGAGTCTTCTACTAAAATTGTGACTTGAGCCTCATTGAGTACAGTCTGAGGGACAACTCGCAGCATTCTTCCTGGTCCAATTAGCCTCAGACTGAATTTAGCATTTGCGCCCTGCAGACCATAACACACATCATCATTTTATTGAAAAGTCTCTTTAGTGAAAATGAGTTATACTGCATAGATGTCATTCATTAGTTTAAGTTAAATGAACATGATATCAGTGTATAGCAGTTTGATTCCTAGAGAAACATAATATCAGTGGCTTGCCCTGACATTTTACCCATATTATTAAAGCATACATTTAGGGAATATCAACCATTTGGATGAGGCTCATGCATAGTTAGGAAGCACCTTTTAATTTGTGTTCATGCAATTTTAAAGGGATAGACTGTGAGAATGGCAGCAAAGCAGACATCAGTCTGCAAACAATGTGCTGCATGTTAATTAGGCCAGTATCTTATTAGATAATATAATTTTCTATCACATATTAACAATGAGTGTTTCTTTCTCCTGACTAGCTCAGGAAGCTTTCGAAGGCAATAATACAGTGTCAGTGCTGAGAGATGACACCTGCTCATTAAAATATTACTGAAAATAGCAATTTCCTGTAATTTTTTGAACCAAAGTATTCTATGTCCATCTGAGAAAACATAGAAGACAGTAATGGGCTCCCCCACCTGATCGGAGTCATTGACAGCGATTTTTAGCCCCTGGAGTACCTCCCCCTCTGGTGGATGTTCGTACATCGTCAACTCAAACATGTTCTGTGGGCCGTTCTCCCCATAGAACGTAGGTGGATTATTGTTCAGGTCCACCACACGGACCACCACCCCGGTCACCCCGTAGTCCATGAGTCTACCTTGAGGACTCACTTCTGAAGCCTGGACAGTTGAAACACAGTAAAAATATGTCCATACCCATGCCTGTGTTAGTTTGATTAATTACTTTTCTGTTAATCTTTATATTGTTAATCCAATATTACATCTAAAGTCTGTAAAACATCCATTCATACAAGTAGAAACAGGCAAAAAAGTAAAAATAGCAATAATAGTTAAATGGTTGCCAAATATTTTATGAAGTTTTTATTTTCAGGGGAATTAAGAAATGATTTTAAAGCATCATTCCAAGGTAAATTGGTGAGTGATGCTTAAGGGGATGTAGGTCTGGCCTTTAGTTGAATAAAGTGCAGCTTACCCGGACTTTAATATTAAAGATCTCTCTCTTCAAATAAATGGGGAAAGTCATCAGGGTGATACAACCACTTGTTTTATTGATGCTAAAAACATCATCATCATCATCTGCAGAGGCAAGAAACAGATAAGTGAACCGTTATAATTCTGAGACAAATTTGTCACATTTCTTTTCTTTAATTTCACATTTATTGTAATCTTCTCTGAATGAAATGCTTACTATCATCGAAGGAGTAACGGATTGGATTTGGGTTTGCCGTATCACCATCTTTGGCAATGACAGTGAATATTTCAGATCCCTGGGGAAAAAAAGAAAGGTCATCAAAAAGGTTTTGTCATTAAATCATTAGTGAAATAAGACTGATAATTTGCTACGTCACCACAAAAAAAAAAAACTTCTTCACCTGGTTTTCAAAGGTAAATTAAAGTGTCATGATTTTAATTATTCCCTTTTAAATGAAAGTCAGAATGTGTTATCTCTCTTCTGTGATGCACCGCTGCACTGACATATTATGACTCAGGTGATAATATGACTTGCACATGCTGTGAGAAAACCTAAGAAGAAGGCAGCACCGTCATTACTGTAAAATGCCAGTAATTAAAGCTGTGTGATGTGATACAGTGTGTGATATGCTGGTTCTTATTTATGCTGTGTAGAAATGGATTGCATTCATTATTTTAGGTACCCATAAGACAGCAGTGTAAATGAATCATAATAAAAATGAATGACTGTAACAGAAATTGTAAGAACATTACAAAATGTTCAAAAACTTGTATGATGAATAGTTGTTACAGTAAGTCCTATGATGTTGAATTAAAGGGTAAAATCTGAAATTCACTGGAAGATATTTTCATACTCACTGGCATTGAGACTTCATAGATATAGCCAAAATACGGTGTCCCAATAAAAAATGGCGGAGTGTCTTGTGCATCAATCACATTGATTGTCAGCGTTGCAGAGGACGACAGAAACTGCTCTTTGCCATTAAAATTACCACCACCATCCTGGAACAAAAGTAATCTACAGTTAAATTTTCAATCAAAACATCCTAGATCTCAATTTTTTATATTTTTTATTTATCACTATGTTTATGTTTTATTACCGCTATTAGCTGTTATAAACTCTACACGGTCTCTTGAAAGAAGGAAAGAACACTATTACAGGATTTTGATACATCCTTACCTTTGCAAAAATGGTGACAAAGTGTGTTTTTATTTTCTCGTAATCCAGCGTTTCTCCAAATTTGATACGAAGGACACCACTATGTCTGTCAATGGCAAACAAACTGGACTGAGAATTCTGCAACAAATAAGAGAACAAAAGCAGGGTTTTAAAAGCACACAAAGAAACACAAAAAGGTTACATGAGCCTGTTGCTGAAACCCCTAAACCCCAATTTACAACCACTCACAAGTCAAAAGTAGTCAGATAACTGCACAAAAACATTCAATGGTCTCTTGAATTTTGCTACATTATGTATAAAGTCTATGTTTAAATGCATTTTTCTGCAAATAATACAGTCTGTAATGTCATTATATATATAGCTATGTTGAATTTGTGTAATATTTTGTGCTTTTAATGACAGTTCTTTAAAATCTATTTATTTATTTTTCTGATTTCGATTCTTTGTCCATCTGGATGTAAGGAACCCATGTGCTCATGGACAGGGCAGACAAGTGAAAACTGCTGTGTCCAGATGTGCGCTGTCACATTGTCACTCCGGCCAGCTGTGCTTGGGTCCTAATAGTCCAAAGTGCAAACTGACAATCCCTGCCAACCACTGCCAAAGCAGCCCTCTAAGCCTTCGATACCTGACACAAATGTAATTGTGATTTAATCCCCATCATCATAACTACAGCAGTATATTCAGACACAAACGCACATGAGGACTAGAGGATCTAATCTGTTAACTTTGTTTTCAGTATATCTGAATATTATTTCTTTCAAGTACAGATTAACATAAGAAGGGGCCAGTTTCATAGTCAAAAATGTCATCTGCATTTTATATGATGTATATTTTAATTGTGAAAGTCAGAGTGGATGGGACATGAGCGTGCAGTATTTTCCTACTGTCCAGCAATACCTGGAGGTAGAAGGTGACTGAGCCCCCTGAGCCTGTGTCTCTGTCCACTGCCTCAACTTCGTAGATACTGCTGCCAGACTCGGTTGTCTAAAATGTGCAAAGCAGCAGTTCATGTCATGTTCAGGTCACAAAAAAACAGAACATAGGAAAAAACAAAAAACACTCACACTTTCCGGTTCTCCACTTTATGTTGACACCGACACTTGGTTCAGATTGAATAAAACACACACATTTGGCTGAACTTACTTCCAGTACATCAATGATTGCAGGTATGTTTTGGAATTCAGGCCTTTCATCATTTGCATCCATTACAAATATTGTGACTCTTTCCACAACCTGATAAAAGGAAGAAGAAGAAAAACAGCAAAACACTGGATGGAATGGCCTTAAATGATCTAATCAGACATTAGATGCCAATACCGTACCTGGCTTTGCCCATCTGAGATGCTGACGAGAACATCAATAGAATCTTGTTTCTGAACAATGATGAGAAAAAGGTTAATATGGATGCATATGGTTATAAAAAATCATCTTGGTTTTTTTTAAGGATTTTATTTTACATTAAAGGTTACAGTGAAATTTGTTGGGGTTTTTTTCTACCATAATGTTTTGTAGTCTAATGGTATATTTACCTCTCTGTCCAGCTTTTCCACTAATGTGATGTTTCCACATACGGGGTCTACCCTGAAGTATTCTTTGGACCCTGGATCAAAGGAAAGGCCATAACTCACCTCCTGGCCTTCGGGGTCTGTGCCATTGAGACAATAAATCTGTGTACCTAATGGAAAAAAAAACATATAATTTAGTGCAAGGAACCAGAGTCTAATTAACTTCAGTATAAAGTCTAAGCCATTGTTTGGTAACGACATTTGCTGTGGAACAACAGACAGACAAATCACAGACATAAGCAGCAGTATAAGGATCCTGAATGAATGCAAAGTGTAGAGCAGGGGTGTCAAACTCAATCACACAAGGGCCGAAAATTAAAACACAATCTAGGTTGCAGGCCAAACAGGATTAACATTTATTGAACAGTCTAAAACTGACAATGGTTTAACCAGAAATATAGTATTTTTTTTTTCTTCAACAAGCAATCAAGCAAAAAAAAAAAAAAAAAAAAAAAAAAAATATTATAACACAAAATCATCTTTTGCTGTAGTTTTCCTGCTACAGTTACAGTCTGTCTTTTAATTCTTCAACAATGTGTTGTTTTTCTTGGAGGCTAAATTTAGCATACTTAGCTCCGTGTTTGGTCTCAAAATCCCGACACATAACTTACGCCTTCGCCACCGACACTGCCTCATTAACAAAAGACACCGATATTCGCTTTCCCACCTTTCGTTAAATTGCCTTCCTTCTGCAGAAACTTTTCTCTTCTTGGACATTTTGGGATTAATTGTTGGTTCTTCTCATTTCCACTTGTCGCGAAATTACCAGTTAAGTGCTGATTCCAAATAATCGCCATCTAGTGGCGGGATGCCAATACTTCACGGGTCCCAAAAACGATGTGCATTGTGGGAGATGTAGTTTATGATCCGTATACGCTTTCAATTAGTATAACCTTTCATTTTAAAAAAAACCATACGCATTTTAAGCTTTTGGGGGCCTTGGGTTTGACACATGTGGTGTAGAGGGACAGCTGCACCACAGTCACAGCCAGCAAAATGTCCACCACATCAACAGGTGGCACCAGCAGATGTGCATGTTAGTGTGGGCACTTACATGCCACAAAACATCTGTTCATTGATCAAAGACTGTTTAACATTCTGGACTCTCAGAAACTGGCAGCCAAAATAGACCATTTTGTTGATTGGTTGATGCCCCAGTCTATTAACTGTTAGCACTAAATGTCCTGTATGTCAGAGGTCGAGCTCACCGGCAGGCGTGTCCTCTGACAGGCTGAAGAGTGCCATGTTCCCATTCTGGCTGTAGGGTCCATTGTCATAAAAATAAGGGGCAAAGTCTGCCTGTGCTGTGGACAGAGTCATCAGACTGAAGTTAGATGCTTGAAAGTTTCATGGTCTGGCATGACCAGTAAATGTTAAGATAGATATTTCTGTTTGCTTGCACTGTGTCAGTTTGACCGTTCAGTGCATGATCTATACTTGTTAAACGATTTAAGTATCAACTGAGCAGTCTTTACTGTGCTTACAGTCCCTACTTTCATTGTCACTTTGACATGGATTACAGGCGAGTTACGTCAGCCTCCAGAAATACCTTTTCTATACACAAACCTGAGAAGTCTGCACATATTATTTGTGAAATCACAGTAATCTTTATTCATTTTTTTTACTTTTACCAAGTTCATATTACCTTTGAAATTAAATTCCTAAATTAGCCAAATGAATCTATATGATAATCAGAGTACAAAATCATGAATACATTTTTAAAATTGTATTATTAATTAAGTAAGAAGAATTCTCAATCGTCAGCCCAGGGGCTCCTAAATGTATCTGACCAGCATTCATAATTTCGATTACAGCAATATGAGCCTATTGTAAAAAGAAAATAAAAAAGTGAAACTCACCAAAGCAGGTTTGCACAAACACAAAAAGCTGTGCCAAATGTAATATTTTTACATTCTTCATCATAAAGAATGAAGTCATGACACCGCACCATGAAGACAGCTTCGTCAAACGTCCTGCACATGAGATGTAGCTTTTAGGTTGTTCAGTACGTGGACGACTGGAGACAGATAAAGGCATATGCTCACATGCTAATCCAATGATACATCTTAAGAGATGTACTCCTGGGCCCCTTCACTCCTTCTGGGCTTCTTCAGCCACCAACCCACCACAGATGGCTGTGTTTACAGTGTAGGGCAGGCAAAAGCAAGGATACAGTGCAACTTAGCAGATGATGGACAGATATTTGTTTTGCATTTTTTTAAATATATTAATACAAGTTTTATTCACTACTGCACTACTGTATGTAATTTTCTTATGATGCCAAAATATCTTCATTTGTGGAAAAGATGCTTGTGTCTGAGGTAAGAAGGATAAACTGTCAAAATATTACTACTATACTACTTGTACTTGCCAGTTAGTTTCAATACTATTAAACCATCTGATACAAATATTTGCAATATGTACCATCATCTACTTGAAAACCTTGGATATTCATTTGGATAAGTGCCTAAACTTTGCTTCACAATATCAGCTACTGTAGTATTTTACTTATGTTCGGACTGTTTTTCTACTAACAAACTCTGAAATCCAACTAACAACTGTGTTACTCCTTTAGGAATGAGAATGTTGTGCTGAATCTTCCTTTAAATTTGAACTGTTTTACATAAAGTGCAGTAATGAAATTGGTCATTACAAAGTAAGGGGATTATAATGATGCAGAATTTATACCATATACAGTACCATCTGCTAAGCACTTCAGAACCATGTGTTGCATTAGGAAAAAGAAATAAAATCCACTATTTACTCAATTAACTGAATAATCATGAAGCAGAAGATGCAATAGATGAAAGCAGTGAATGTTCTGATGAAACTATGGTTCCTGTTTGAAATCATGAATGAGCTGATGATGTTAAATGAGAAATCTACTGTAAATAAATGATCATGACAAACAAGGCAAGATGACATTTTGTTATGCTTATAATTACGTTTTCTTTATTTCCATTTTTCCTATGTTAATCAATTCTCTAATTAAAAATACCACTGATTGACCTAATGTCTTTCTCTGACTTATTCTGGGCACTGAAGTAGGCTAATCTTGTTTCGTAATCTTATTTGCCACCCATAGGTAAACTCTTGTAAACAAATGTTATATAATATTAACCCAGTGATCCTCTATTTTACTTGGATTATCTTACAAACATCAACTCATTAATTACTGTAAGCCTTGAAGTTTTATAGTAATTGCCTGGTTTCTTCTACTGTATGTTGGTGGTAACAGCGTGGCTCCAGGTTTCATGGGACTAGCAGATGACAGACCTAAAGATTAAGCCACTGTGCCCTAGTCTCCACTCATCTTGTTCACACAGGTTCCATCAAATATAAATGTAAGGCACAATAAGCACACATAGTGTTGTATGCAATGGGTTCACAAACAGATGTCTTCATGTTTTTTATCCTTTGTCATACTGAACATGACCTTTGTTTAAACTATTGCTAACAAATGTGTCAGTGCATACAATATATTCTATTACAAAAACCTCTCACTGAAGCTTATATGTTTGCATGTTTTAGCAGTGATCATTGTGATAAATCAAAAGGATTAACGCTCACTGCTCATTTGTAACCATCGTCTTAGTTTCTACCTCTGTGCCTTCAGTCATAGCAGCACACGGGTATCTCTTGGATGTTTCTGTTGAGACAGCGCCATTGGGCTGCCCATAGAGACATTTTAAGGGAAATGCTTATCATTTCCATTGCTTCATGTGCATTATTTGATTATTGTCATTAACAGACAAGACAAAACCTGCATCTCAATGGATTCGATATAACCTGAAATATTTGTATCAGTATATATCAGTCACTGACACACAAATCTACAGTAGCGTCCACATGAAAACAAAACAAAAAAAAAATTGAATCTCAAATATATTTATCTATCAATTACATGGAATGATATGAGAAATTGTCCCCCTCAGCAACATTTGGAGAAAAGTGACGTTTGAAGCAAATTTTTGGATGTTTATCAAGAAGCGATGTCAACAGAAAGAGCTGCAAGCAGAATTAGTCTGGCTGTCATCCCGTGCATGTCTCTGAAACATGGGGGTCCATAAAAATGTCAAATGAACACAAACATGTCAAAACAACATGTAGACTACTAAATAACAGTTTGTCACTAAGAAATCAAGAACATTTTTGGATTAGGAGAATCCAAAGTTCACCCCAAATGCACACATCATAAAGTATTCTTATATCAGTCTATCATATATCTCAGTTTCCCAACAAATAACCAATGTTTTCATTGCTCTACCTGTTACCTGTTGTGAAGCTACCCAATTCAGCTGTACAGTACCACTTTGGATTATTATTTATAATCTCTAGGGCAGTTTGCCAAGGTCAGAGGTTCGCCTTTAGCCCTGGCTCACTCTAAAACTAGGTCGCTCTTTTAATCTCTCCGTGTAGAGTATGCTGTCAGTTATCAGCCTTTCATTTTACAGAGAGCTAGCAGAGTGAATACACTGCATCATGAATCATGCAACATCATGAAAGATGTAACATGCTACTTTTTGCAGGAATCATCGCTGGTTGAGCTACAACTACAGTGGTCCATAAAATCAGTCCTGAAATGTGGGTCTATAATTTCAACAAAATGCTGAGGCAGTATACAGTTTAGTAACTTGCATAATATAGCAACACCTTAAAAATAGATATGAATGAAAATACTGTGAATGTAAATCACATGCAAACACAAAAACAATCAATACTAGGAATGTAAACTAAATTAAGGCTTATGAAAGCAAATCTAAGTACTGATATCTTAGTTCATATACATTTACAAACTGAAACCCATTCAAAAAACACATTTATTGTGGTACAGTACTTATTTTAGTTAAAACAAAACTATATTTATGTGGCTAACTGCTGAGGCTCTCATCAAACTGAACTCACTTTGCATTGTTCATAGTGTCTTTTACATTAAACGGTGCATTGAAATGATGAAAAATGTAAATCATTTTGACACTGTTGAATATCACGTTGGGTACCAGTGGCCCCTGATACGCTGCTTCATTACACTGCATTCTTTTACACTGCTGCCTCCAAGTGGTAAAAAAATGGTGGTGGACAATAAATGTTACAAAAAAATAAATATATGCGGAGGGGTGTAGTGCTGATTATTATTATACCAGCTGATCAACAATACTGTCTAGGGAGACTCACCACAATATGACAAATATATGAACTCTTATCGGACTGAATAGTTATACTGTATATCCAACATGGCCTTTTCACACAATATAGGAAAAGGAAAAGTCTTACTTTTATCATTTTACTTTTATCAGTTTTGAATCTCAGTGAATACTGAAAACTGTATTGTTACCTGGCAAGGGGGAACAGAATCACCATTTCATGGTTGTTGTCATTTCATGTTTGTTGTTCATTTTTATGTCCATGTCTGTTTATTTGTAGTCTGTTATGAATAAGAAGTCATGTGCCACTTCATATAGTTAATTTGCTCACTATAGTTAATTACTGCGAGGATGTGAGATGTTAGTAATTTGAGTGAATGAGTTGTTTGATGAAGTTATGTTTTATTAGAGTATGTGAGAAATACTCTGCTAAGGATAAAAGTTCATTGAGGAGTTGTCAACTTGGTAATAAGAATTGATTCTAGATTTGACTTTAAATGTAAAAAAAGAGGTTAGGGTTCAGACAAACATGTTCAGGTCTAGATTTCTTTTGTGTTTTGTTGTACTTGTTGTTGTTTGCAGAAGCCTACCTTACATGGAAGATGGACATAAGTTTAGCCTTATGTGAGCAGTTTGTGTGCTGTGTTCATGTTTAGAAAAAGGAAATGTGCGCTAGGTCAACACGACCTAGAAGTTCATGTGCTGGACATCTCAGACAATTCTTGGAAGATGGGGTGTAGACCTGGCATGGGACTGCGACTCTATCTCAAGCAATAGGAGGATGTGTAACTGGGAGAAGATAAAAGTTGGAATAGGAAGGAATGATGGTGCAGCAGTCGTGAGTGTGCGTTTGGACCTGGCCGGGTGGACTCTGAACACTGACTGACTAGACCGTGTGGCCAACAATGACTGACTGATTCTTTGACAGTTCTCTTATCTAATACTTTGGTGTATTGCTTTGCAGGGATGGTGATTCTACCTCTCAGATGGCTGATCCTATCTTTCAAATTATTAAACTGCCTTGAATTATTGTAATACTAAATTATTATTGTAATTGGAATGATTTGTCTGAATCACTTTAGTTCGTATCAGACCCAAACAATGACACTATAACAGGGACAACATGTAGGGGAAGACGGGGGAAGATGACCCCCTTAAGAACATTATTTGTTTATTGAAAAACCTTTAGATGCTTGGGTATGAATTCACTATGTACAGCATTATGCATAAAGGAACTTATTAGAGAACAATTTAGAGGGTATTATAATAGTAAAGTAGGCTATTACATGCCATTTTTATACAAATGTTTTAAAGAGGGGGCATCTTCCCCCAGTAGATGGCATTTCCCACCTAACCACTCAGTGGCATCTTAGGTAGGTAGGTAGGTACTTTATTGATCCCTCAATGGGGAAATTTCAGTGTTTCAGCAGCAATGGAGAACAAACAACATAACACCATGAGAAACAAACACCACACACATATCTTGATAAACAAATTTCTTGCCCCAGATGTGTTTTTTTTCATATTAAATATTAGAAAATCCTATTTTATGTTTTGTTCCAAATAGAAAGACCCAGCTTTCCCATGATTGTTCCCATTGTATTAATGATGACGTGTTTGGTCTGCCTTTGCCCGAACACACAAATCTATATATTATAACAGTTATGGAAAAATAGATTATTTCAAAATATCATGTGGTGCAGAAGTCAGCCACAGAAAATTAACCTTTAAAACTAGTGGATGTTTGGGCGCATATGTAAAACGTTAGCTTTGATGATTTTTGGTGGCCACAGGTGGAGTTATATGTGGGTGGGTAGGCATCTTACCCCATCTTCCCCTATGTGAGTTAAAAAAAGGGG